TTGAAGAATACATAAAAATTATATTAAAATTCCGCATTTTGAAAAAATATTTTTTTCAAAAAAATTCAAATTTTGAAAAAAATAATTTTACAAAAATATATTTTTTTCAAAAGTCAAATATTGAATTGAAACAAAAACAAATAAAAAATAATTTTCTTTGAGCTCTGTAGCTTTTTTTAAAAGAAAAGTCTAATTAAAAAAAAATAGATTTTTTAAGGACGAAATTTGAAAAATCTAATGTAAAAAAAATTTCAAAAATCTATTTTAAAGTAATTTTCAAAAAACTTTAATTAATTAAAAAAAATTCTAATTTTGAAAATATAATTTTTTTAAATTGACTTTTGGAAAAAATCTTTTTTTTTCAAAACAAGTCGAATTTTAAGAAATTCGAATTTTGGAAAAAATCAAATTTAGAGAAATACATAAAAATTATATTAAAATTAATATCCGAATTTTAAAAATATTTTTTTTTTTCAAAAAAGAAAAATTAAATTAAAAAAAGGAATTTTATTTTTTTTTTTTTTCAAAATAGTGAAATTAAAAAAAATTGCAAAAATCTAAATTTCAAAAAATTTGAGCTTTAAAAAATTAATAAAAAAAAATTAATTCTAAATGAGGTCTATAGCCTCTTAGCAGTGTAACCTTTGCGTCCGAGATATCTATATATTTTCCCCATTTTCTTATTAACATCCACTGTCCTCCCTGCCGTTGGGGAAAAAAATCAACTCATGCGGCACATCAACTTTAATCAACATTATAATGTTAGGAATGAAACCTTAATATGGGAAAACCAACCCATAAGAGTAGAAAGGATGGAAAGGGATGGGAAGGGAAGGGGAAGAGAAGTAATAGAAATAAAGGCAGAAAACAGTTCTGAGAAAAGTATCAGAGATTTTATTTGCAGCAAGGCCAAGGGGCAAACGACTAGGTGGCTAAAAGACAATTAGACGGAGGGCAGCTTGGGAAAGCTGCAATCCTAAAAATAGACCTTGAGGAGAAGAGGATTGCTAAATCAAATAGTCAACAAAAAGGTAAATTTTTCTGGAATACGATTTCAGAAAAAGGCTTCAACTGGATCTGGGAACAAATAAACGGGTTATCTCCTCCCCCATTCTCCCCTTAAGTAATCATCCCTACTTCTTTAAACAAACACTCACACTAATACAGAGACACAAGATACATTTTTAAGGCATTTACTTCCAAGTGAATAACTCGCATAGAAAAAAATGATGGAAAAAAATCATTTGCAGAGTGGAAAATACCCAGAGACACCAGCACAAAGGACATGGCGCGCACACACACACACACAAAATATCAGAGATATGGAGAGGGGAAAAGAGGAAATCAACTCCCTTCATTGATACATAAGTAGCATACAAAAGAATGATGTGATGCGTTGTGATGTGATGTTTAGTCAAAGATGAACAGATCGAACGAAGGAGCCGCATCCAGGCTTGTTTTGTGGAGGATAAAGTATGTGGCGTTTAAATCACAAGAAACACACACATACACACACACGCAGCCATAACAAAAAGTAATAAAGTGTTCATACAAAACAGCCAGTTAGTTAGTCATGACGGAGAGGAAGAAGACATGGCTCAAAAGTCAATTGTCATGTGGTATCAAAAAAAAAGCGAAAAAGGAAGATTATAAGGAACAACCAACCATGTCAGCCGAGGATTTACCACCACCAAATCCAGTTCATGTTGGCGAAGGAAAAAGCTGAACACAAGATTTAAACAATGCATCGATTTCAAAAAAGGGTCTTCAGTAAATAAACGAATTGAGTTGAAGGAATCGTTTAATATTTAAATTAGCATTTCATTTTAGATAGAGATTGACGCCCCATCTTGCGAGCTGTCCTGAAGAGGCAGATGCTGTAAACAATTGTCAGCCAGCCAGCAAGTCAGTCAGTCAGCCTTGTCGAAGAGTTACGTTTGATAGCTTGTTATTTAATTGATGATATAATCATTGAAAACATTTAAAAGGCATGCCAAGTGCCTGTCATTTGACATTACAATAATGGGTAATGGGATTTTATTTTCAAATAATAAATTGTCGAATAAATTCAAATAAATTTTGAGGGGAAGAAAGGCCGTGAAACGAAGGGAAGGGAAGATATGAAAATATCAATTTTATTTAGCCATATGAAAATATCAATTTTATTTAGCTACAAAAAATGGAATTTCGCTAGAAAAATCGTTAGAAAATGTAATTCCGATTTTTTGAGAAATAATAAATAAAAATTAAGAACAAAAATTCATAAAAAAATCTATATGATATAGTACACATTTCCGAACCACAGCCAAATCTCAATCCTAAATGCCAAAAGAGACTTCAATATAAAATTTGGGGATTCCAGTTCAACTCTTTCACCCAAAACCAAATTTAGTACCATTCAGTACTTTTCTTATAAAAATATAGGACACATTTCCAAATCTCAAACACACGTACCATCGGTAATCTAAATATCAAATTTCAGAATTGTATCTCTTTCCCTTCAGCAGCGTGTGCCGGTTTCATTGGCCGTTTGAAGGCCATAATTCGTGCCAAAGGTGACAAATTCGAAGAAATCTAAACTTATTTTTTTTTTTTAAATTTATATCAATCAATCAATTTTCCATTTTTTAATGATCTAATGGTTTTTTATTTTTTTTAGTTTTTTAAAATTTTTTTAGTCATCCTAAAATTCAATTCCGTAAAATTTAATATAATTTTCTTTAAATATTTTTTTTAATTTTTTAAAATTTTTTAATAGCAGTTAGTCAGTTATTTTTTTAATAATATATATTAAATTTGGATTTTGAATTATTTTTTAATGCTTATTTATTTCTTTTTAGTTTATATTAATTTTTTCAATTTTTTTAATGTTTTTTTTTTAATTTATATTTATTTTTTTTAATGATCTGACGATTTTTTATTTTTTTTTAATTTTTTTTTTAGTTTTTTAAATTTTTTTTAGTCATCTTAAAATTCAATTCCGTAAAATTTAATATAATTATTTTTTAATATTTTTTTTTTAGATTTTTTAAAATTTTTTTAGTAGCAGTTAGTCGGTTATTTATTTATTTTTTATTAATATATATTAAATTTGGATTTTGAATTATTTTTTAATGCTTATTTATTTCTTTTTAGTTTTATTAATTTTTTCAATTTTATTAATGTTTTTTTTTTTAATTTATATTAATTTTTTTCATTTTTTTTAATGATCTGATGGTTTTTATTTTTTTTTTTAATTTTTTTAGTTTTTTTAAATTTTTTTAATATAATTTTCTTTAAATATTTTATTTATTTTTTTTGTTAATAGCATTTATTTTTTTTATTAATATATATTAAATTTGGATTTTGAATTATTTTTTAACGCAGATTTATTTTTATTAATTTATATTAATTTTTTCAATTTTTAATTTTTTTTTTTTAAATTTATATCAATTTTTTTTCCATTTTTTAATGATCTAATGGTTTTTAATTTGTTTTTTATTTTTTTTAGTATTTAAAAAAATTTTTTTTAGTCATCTTAAAATTCAATTCCGTAAAATTAAATATAATTTTTTTAAATATTTTTTTTTAATTTTTTACAACTTTTTTAATAGCAGTTAGTCAGATATTTTTTTTTTATTAATATATATTAAATTTGGATTTTGAATTATTTTTTAATGCAGATTTATTTTTTTAATTTATATCAATTTTTTCAATTTTTTTAATGTTTTTTTTTTAATTTATATTAATTTTTTCAATTTTTTTGATGACCTGATGATTTTTATTTTTTTTTTAATTTTTTAAACTTTTTTTTAGTTTTTTAAAAATTTTCTAGTCTAAATTCAATTCCGTAAAATTTAATATATTTTTTTTTAAATTTTTTAAAAATTTTTTTAATAGCAGTTAGTCGGTTATTTATTTATTTTTTTATTAATATATATTAAATTTGGATTTTGAATTATTTTTTATTCAGATTTATTTTTTAATTTATATTAATTTTTTCAATTTTTTTAATGTTTTTTTTTTAATTTAAATTAATTATTTCAATTTTTTTAATGATCTGATGATTTTTATTTTTTTTTTAATTTTTTAAATTTTTTAAAATATTTTAATGATCTCAAAACCCAATTTTGTAAAATTCCGTTTTTCAAATTTGCAATAATACACCTGAAATTTATTTAAATTGTAGCTAAATTTTATATTCAGCTCTCCCCCCCATCTCCAAGTCAGTTAAGGTGTCTTCTCCGCCATTTCCTTGCAGAGTTGTGGTTTTAAAACCATAAATCAACATTAAACATTGTGTAGAACAAATATCCTTTAAGACAACTGTTGGTTGTTAGTTTTTCGACTTCGTCTTCTCCTTCGTCTTTTCTTTATTCCTGGCTTGCCAGGCAACAAGAAACATCACCCCATTAAAATGTCAATAGTTAAATGTTGAAATATATATTTTTGGCGAGAGAGAGAGAGAGGGAGAGAGGGCGAAAAAAAAGAAGGAGGCAACCACTAACAAAAGAAAGACTTGAAAGAAAACAAAAACGTAACTTGCTACATGTGCCGCCAGACAAGTCAGCAGCGGGACTTTGAGGCTTATGGGAAGCTGGCTACAATACAAAGAACAACAAAAGACCAAACAAGCCAACCGCCAACCGTGTAAGAGGCCATTAAAAAGTCATAAGAATGCGATTGCGGAGTATTGGAAAATGATAGTTGGCTCGATGGAGACCCCCGTTGGTTTTTTGGGATGCAACAGTACGAAAAGGGGAGGAGAGCGAGGGGGCCTTTATGGGCATTTGGCAGCAGCTTCCTTAAGGCTTTGTTCGGGGCCTTAATGACAATACAACGGCTGATCATATTTAATGGCAAACAAATTCAAAGCCATTTGGAGGAATATACCCCAAGGAGTACCTCGCGCTCTCTTCTCCCTTTCCTTCAATCTTTTATTCTCTTGAGATGTAAAATAGATTTTTTTAATTTTTTTGTTTTTTTTTTTTTTTTTTTTGTTTTGTTTTTCTTTAACTTACCTATGTCAAAGGCATGCGCATGCGCAGCCTGATATAGCACCACACTGATGAGGGTTAAAAGCTGATAGGAAAGGCACTGGCGGGAGAACATTTTGCAGGTGGTTGTGTAGTTGTTGTTGGTGGTAGATGTGTTAGCAGAAATTAAGGTGAGTCGTTGTTGTCGTTGTAATGATGCTATGATTTTGGTTTTAGCCATTTTTTGTTGTTCAGGATTTTGTGTTTTTCGTTTTAGCAAAAAAAGTAGCTACACAAGGCAGTGTATTTATGGCTGCTTAGCAGGAGATCTGTAAAGATAAGAAAAGAGAACAAATTATAAGAGATTTATTAAAAATCCAAAAATTATTAAAAAAATATTGAAAATTAAAAAAAAACAAATATTTGCTATTTTCAGAATCAAGGTTATATTTGGAATTGGAAGTGGTATCTTCATCTTTTCAATATATGTATTCTTTGGCCTGACCCCATGCCGTTACAGAAGCTCTTTGTTAATGTCAAACACATGCTGTTAGCCTGTCTAAGGCCTTCAATTAAAGTCAACAATAACTGGCACTCGGTGGCGGCTGGCGGCTGGCGGTTCTTTTTTCCCCCTTGAGATACAATAGCAAAAGATAATTGGAATTTATGTTGAACATGGGTGCCGAGGGTTGGGGGGAGGGGTTATGGCAAATAGGGTCATACCTTGAGAGCAATGCAAAAAACACTTTAAAAAAATTTGCCTACAAACTAGCTCATTTCAGCTAGCAAACCTCTAGGAACCCAGAGTAAGACCAAACCAATGAAAAAAGAAATACATGCCACTGTCATAAACTGACAGCTGTCAAAATAGCAAAGTTTTTTTTTCTTTCATTCACTCAATGTCTGACGTTTTTCTAAACATAGCAGACAGATTTTGTATGAAAGTGTGTGTGCGGAGTACAAAAACTCAAGATTCGCTATTTCCCTATGGCTGTCATCGGGGGTCTTGCATAGACAGAGTGAGGTCTACAGACAGACGACGTAAGTATGTTACAGACAATTTTTTGTTAACACATATTTTTTGCCCGCCCTCTCTCTCTCTCTTCTTCCACTTAATGTGGAGCAAAAAAAAAAGCAGAGAGCCCATTAAATTGTAGACTTCATCAATGTCTTGTTGGCTTTATTTTATTAATTCATTAAAATGTCAAAGTGTTATGGAGAAAAATGTCAGATTTCGCTTTTGTTCCCAAAAACAATTGATATATCCAATAACAACAGCAACAAGAAGAAGAATTGACATTGCTTGACATATGTATGTTCACATGTAAACAATGGTTTTTAGACTTGGCATTAAATTCTCCATTGAAATGAAATCAGCTGGAAATTATAACGAATTATGTGGAACGAAAGTAATTTTCATCAATTCAGGCAAAGAGAAATGGAATTCAGAAAAGTTTTATATTTTTATTAATTATTTAAAAAAAATTAAAGTAACAAAAAAGTTTGAAAAAAATTCTGGCCTAAGAACCCTAGACCCCATTTGGCGTATTGATCTATAAATGAGTACTATCAAGTCAAATTAGCATTTTCGCAACCCAGGCTGGCTTTTGGACAGAAAAATTATAACAAAATTTGAACGAAAAAAAGTGCTCAATTTTTCAAGGTTTTTTTTTTTTTTTTTTGGTAGAAAAATTAATGTTATTTTTTCATGGTAAATATTGAATATTCAAAATTCTTTTGTTCAGAGACTCACAATGGAATTTGATGTAGAATAATTCTTCTTTTGAAACTTTTGCCAAAAAATGAATTTTAAAAAGAGATTTTTGGGAGAGTTTGGAAAAGTGTCAAAGAAACAGTTTAAAAAATTAATCAATCAATCTCTTGTGAAATAAGTTTTATTCTGGATTTTTTCATGGTAAATATTGAATATCCAAAATTCTTTTGTTCAAAGACTCCAAATGATATTCGATGTAGAATAATTCTTCCTTTGGTACTTTTTCCAAAAAATGAAATATAAAGGGAGATTTTGACTCGGATTGAAAACGTGTTAAATAAAGAGTAAATAAGGCAAACACACAATTTTCACTTATTGTACATAAATTTCGAATTTAATTTTCTTAAAAACTATTCGGCTGAGAGGTATAATTTATTCTAGAACTTATATTAAAATTTTGTGAGGAATATTTCTTATTTTAACAGCTTTTACCTAAAACGAAATTTGATGTCACTTTCAGGCCTCAACGCGCAAAAAAGTCAGAGGAAAAATTAATCAAAAAAAAAAAAAAAAAATTGGAAATATTTTCCAATAATTGTTTGTTATACAGTGAAGATAGATATTTCATTTCGTTGGTGACTTATAGTAAAATTTGATGGAGAATATTTTTGTCTTTAACGTCATCCTTCTAAAATGGTGCTTTGTTGCAGATTTTTACATAGACTTACATAAAGTTTAAAATTTTAACCCTAAAATGTATTTTTCATACAATTTTCACTTGTTGTACATAAATTTCGAATTTAATTTTCTCAAAAACTATTCAGCTGAGATGTATCATATATTCTAAGACTTATAGTAAAATTTTGTGAGGAATATTTCTTATCTTAACAGATTTTGCCTAAAATGAAATTTTAGATTACTTTCAGGCGTCAAATCGAAAAAAGTCAGAGGAAAATTTGATCAAAAAAAAAAAAAAAAAAGAAAAAGTTTTCCAATAATTTTCTGTTATGCAGTTAAGATAAATGATTCATTTCGTTGGTGATTCATAGTAAATTTTGATGGAGAATATTTTCGTCTTTGAAGTTATCCTTCTAAAAACATGCATTGTTGGAGATTTTTGCATAGACTCACATAAAATACAGTTTTAACACTAAAATGTATTTTTCACACAATTTTCATTTGTTGTACATAAATTTCGAATTTTATTTTCTCAAAAACTATTCGGCTGAGAGGTATCACATATTCAGAGACTTATAGTGAAATTTTGTAAAGAATATTTCTTATTTTAACAGTTTTTGCCTAAAACGAAATTTTAGGTTACTTTCAGGCGTCCAATCGACAAAAAGTCAGAGGAAAATTTATCAAAAAATTAGGAAATATTTTCCAATAATTTTTTGCTATACAGTGAAGATAGAGATTTCATTTCGTTGGTGACTTATAGTAAAATTTGATGAAGAATATTTTTGTCTTTGGCGTCATCCTTCTAAAATGATGCATTATTGGAGATTTTTGCATAGACTCACATAAAGTAAAGCTTTAACCCTAAAATGTATTTTTCATACAATTTTCACTTGTTACACATAAATTTCGAATTTAATTTTCTTAAAAACTATTCGGCTGAGAGGTATCATTTATTCTGAAACTTATAGTGAAATTTTGTAAAGAATATTTCTTATTTTAATAGCTTTTGCCTAAAACGAAATTTGATGTCACTTTCAGGCCTCAACTCGCAAAAAGTCAGAGGAAAAATTGATCAAAAAATTAGGAAATATTTTCCCATAATTTTTTGCTATACAGTGAAGATAGAGATTTCATTTCGTTGGTGACTTATAGTAAAATTTAATGGAGAATATTTTCATCTTTGAAGTTATCCTTCTAAAATGATGCATTGTAGGATATATTTACATAGACTCACATAAAGTACCGTTTTAACCCTAAAATGTATTTTTCATACAATTTGCACTTGTAGTCCATAAACTTCGAAATTAAGTTTCTCAAAAACTATTCGGCTGAGATGTATCATATATTCGGAGACTTATTGTGAAATTTTGTAGGGAATATTTCTTATTTTAAGAGATTTTGCCTTAAATTAAATTTTAGATTACTTTCAGACTCCAATCGATAAAAGTCAGAGGAAAAATTGATCAAAAAATAGGAAGTATTTTTGTGTTTATTTATTTTTTTTATTTTTTTGGAAACATAGATGCACAATATTTTTTATGAGAAGTGGAGTTAGAGATTCCATTTCGTTGGTGACTCATAGTGAAATTTGATGGAGAATATTTTCATCTTTGAAGTTATCCTTCTAAAATGATGCATTGTTGGAGATTTTTGCATAGACTCACATAAAGTACAGTTTTAACCCTAAAATGTATTTTTCATACAATTTTCACTTGTTGTACATAAATTTCGAATTTAATTTTCTCAAAAACTATGCGGCTGAGATGTATCATATATTCGGAGACTTGTAGTGAAATTTTGTAAAGAATATTTCTTATTTTAACAGATTTTGTCTTAAATGAAATTTTAGGTTACTTTCAGGCGTCAAATCGAAAAAAGTCAAATTGATCAAAAAATTAGGAAGTATTTTTGTGTATATTTTTCGGAAATATTGAAGCAAATAATTATTTGTTATCCACTGGAATTGGAAATGTCTTTTCGTTGGAGACTTATAGTAAAATTTGATGAAGAATATTTCTGTCTTTGGTGTCATCCCTATAAAATAATTCTTTTTTGGAGATTTTTGCAAAAGTCACACAAAGTATGACTTTAACCCTAAAATGTGTTTATAATACACGTTTAGGCAAGATTATCATTTTTGACGTCTCTAGGACCTATGGTAGAATTATGGCAAATAATTTCGTAGAATATTTTGACTTGTTACGATCTTGTTTAATGGGAGAATTTAACGATTTTTTGAAAAAGGGACCAAAAAGACCCCTTTGTTGACTCGCTTAAGGGTTAAAACTGCGGATTAAAATAATCCGCGTTTTATTAGCTGTAATATTCCCAAAGACACTATATACCTAAAATGCACAGACTTCAAGGAATCTTATTTCGAAAATTTCAAAAAAGTCCAAATATTTGACTCGTTGGAGGGTTAAAATTTACGACGAAAATAATCCCCGTTTTATATGAATTTTTGGCATTTAGGTAGAATATGGACTTTTGACTTTTCCAGGACCTGTAGTAGAATTTTATGCCAAATAATTTTTTTTTTAAATATTTTGACTTGATACGAATCCCTTTTAAGGAGAGTTTTTAATCATATTTTAAAAACTGGACAAAAAAGACTCAATTTTTGAATTGTATTAAAAGTTCTGACCAGCATTCGCCTAGCATTTGGATGGACGTAATATCCCTATTATTGTCTGTAATATTATCGAGGACACTATAAATACGATACGAAATGGATACGAAAATTTATAAAAAAAATTGTGTAAGAGAGGGGAAACTTACCCCCTCTGGAAGATGGGGTTAGGTTCAGAATAGAGGCCCATTGTTTTTTGGATATTACCGAGGAACTATAAACCTAAAAGGAAAGGATCCGAAAATTCCTAAAGAATTTCTGTGGAAGAGAGGGGAAGCTTATCCCCTCTAGGAGGAGGGGTTAGG